CACACGTCACCGGTCCGTGAACTCCATTTTGCCCACCTTTGGGCAATGCCACCATCTTCATAAATGGTATATTTTTGGCAATTAAATGCTGCTCTATGCTGTTCAAACAAGCCAATTCTGGGGGAATGGGGTCTACTGCCAAATTATTGAGAACACATTCAGGTGGCATCACACCTCTCTTAAGTTTGTTATCACAGTTGCTGCAGATCCAAGACTGCCCTCTCCCAATTTCAATCCAAACACAGGCTACTTCACAGTCATCAGTACATGTGTGTAAATATGTGTCTCTGATGCATTTATTAGCGAGTTCTTGATTCTTATATTTGTCTTTTTTACAGTGCAAGGCCTGCGATTCAAATAACAACTTCTCGCAGCAGCTACATATAAAAACGGGTCCATTCTTAACTTTGGCCAAAAACTGCTGCATCACAAAATCAAATACCTGTCTATTTTTTTGCATTTGTTGCCTCTTCAATTTGTTGCTAGCTGTTACTCGCTTCTTATAATCTGGATTACCATGATACCTTGGATTTGACCTTCTTTCTATGCAATTTATTTTGCCTATATTTACGTTTGTTAAATGCTATAACTTTCTCTCTATGTAAAACTTTTAGTCTATAGTTCTGTTTGCTTAATGCTATAACCCTTTCTCTATGCAGATCATCGTCATGATATTTTTTTAACCTATATTGTTTTACTTTCAACGGATTACTTTTACTTGAATCCTTTATCATCTGATTATGCAATGGGTCTTCATGGTATCTAACCTGAGTATGTCCAATTGCTCTGTGTTTGAAATCCTCATCCTCGCAATACCTTTTTCTAAGACCGACTCTTACTCTCTCTTGATAATCTGCATCACTATACTTTTTCATGGACGCATCCCTAATCCTTTGCTGGTACCCTGTGTTACTTTTATAATGCAGTTTAATTTGTGACCTGTATTTCTTTTTTAAATATGTTGAATGACTACGACTCCAGCTGTTTGCAACACTCTCTGCATTGTCTTTAACCCCACCCTTCTCAGTACAGATATCGACACTGCTACGCATAGACCGTGTCTCTGACAAACCCCCCACTTTACACAATTCAAAGCACCTTTGTTCATCGTAAGGTTTGATACAAACCACTGGCTCAAAATGATTTTTATCACAATGTTTCAAGCATATTTTTTCTTTTGAAAGCATTGCACAATTACAAGTGTATTTGAGCCATTTTTCCCCACTGCAGATAAAAATGTCCACTCCAAGAGCATTTGCTGTCCCTTGGATTTCTACATCTGTGGCACAATGTCCTACATACTTCATCCGAGACTTCTCAATGTAGTCTGAAATTGAAGCAGATCCCCCAACTACTTTAGTTTGTTCTGCGTGATTCATCATATGCTTCACAACAGTCTTTCTAATCTTTCGATGGCTCTTCTGAGAACCACTGAGAACATGAGCTACCGCTCCGAAGAAACTATTAGCGTCCCTCTTTAATTTTTTCGGTCTTACAGACCACACCTAGGGACCCAGTTACTGTAGGTCCCTGTACATCCTGCTTTTCAAAGTCTATATTACACTTTGTGCAAAGTGTTTTTGCCACTTCATTGCACAAAGGATTAAATTCAAGAGTGATTTTACTTACATCACTCTTTTCCACACAATCTGTGTCCCCAGCAGACGATGTACCATGCGTTTGTTCGGTAACCCTCCTTTTGCCTCTAGTTGTCAAAGAAGTGTCAAATTTGCAATACCCATAACAACTCTGCAAATTAGGTTGTTTTACACACACAACAGTCTCATAATGATTACCATTGCAGTTTTCCAAATAAACCCCCTGATTAGACAACTGCCCGTTCTCGCAACTATATTTTAGCCAGCGTGGATCACAATATGTGAATATATTAACTCCAAACGCATCTGCTGCTGCTTGAATTTCTAATTCTGTTGCCCAACTGCCAACCTCCCGCATTTTGGATGTGCTGAGGTATTCTGACATGGAGGTCAAAATACGCTCATAAGGCACAGCATTGCTCTGCATTTGATGAACCACTGCACGCCTAATTATTGTGTGATGCCTTTGTGTACCACACACAGCTTGACTCACTGCTCTAAAGAAACAGTTTCCGTCACCCTCTATTTTTTCATTGAGACATGGAGCCCCTATTAAACCAATTTGTGTAGACACAACATCTACTTTGACGGTGTAACTGCTCACAAAGAGCTTGTGCAAGTTGATGACTAAGAGGATTAAACTGCAGTCGTCCACTTCTTACTTCTTTGACAAAAGCAACGTCTGAATTATCTGCGGTAACATCACTCTTTTTAAATTTTTTGCAAGCAGAAGATCCCTTACGAATCTTACGCTTTGCACCCATCTGAATGTTGGTGCAGCCAAGTGTGGACTGAATAGTTGAACTACAACCCAAATCAGTCTCTGTCGTTTTGGGAGTCACTCTTGGACCCAAAGACAGATTACTGCTTTCAATTGGGCCTATTTGAGTGACTCGAACACCAGCCATCTCAAACTGTTTTTGAGACTCAGAAGATCCCTTTGGAATGTTATGCTTTGCACCCATCTGAATGTTGGTGGACTGAATAGCTGAACTACAACCCAAATCAGTCTCTGTCGTTTTGGGAGTCACTCTTGGACCCAAAGACAGATTACTGCTTTCAATTGGGCCTATGTGAGTGACTCGGACACCAGCGATCTCAAACTGTTTTTGAGACTTCTTGAGGAACGCTGCAAATGTCCATATGTATTCAAACACGTGTTCAAGGCCTCTGAAATACAGAACAACACTACGCCCCTCGCCATCGCTCATCCCAGACGCACTGCGTGCATGGGAGTCGACCACTGCGTAGTGTCCACCTTGACCAATGATGGCACATGTAGCGCCATTCATTGTCAGAAAGCATGTGTCATATTTACTACACATGCTTTCCAGTGCGTATTTTAAAGTGGTGTGCACACCCTGATCAATGAAATCACCCTCAACCACATCCACATCTCCAGACACAAAGTCACTGTATTGAAACAGAAATCTTCGTCCGTCGATAATGGTCTCCTTGGGCAGATCTGGAACCGAAAGTAGACTGTATCCTCCACTGATACCTTGTTGGTCACGCAGGGAGGTGTACAGATTGTCACCAAGTACAACAACTTTATCCAGGTTGTCGGTCTGCCATGTAAACACGCTGTCAATGTTGTGTTTGGCTATGCCTACCAAACTTACAGCCATGCACTGAAGTCCTGCATATTTAAAGCGTTGATCACCCTGACTGAATGTTCCCCTGACACACCCCATATCCCCATCAATGACTCTAGCCGTCTCCGAATTAACTTCAGCTGCTTTCACAGAAAGTCTTGTAATGCTAAACTTCTGTGCATTCAATGAATTATTGAGATTCCTGATGTAAAACATCAGGTCATTAAGGCATGTGTTGAACACGGCTACAGATGTGCCATAACTGGATGCTAACCCAGACGCAGCACGTGTGCCACAATCAACGACCACAATACAGTCATTGTGTTGAATAATGACACTGGCTGCGGAACTTAGGCTAAACAGACACATGCCATCCCTGGATAAGTGTTCAAGCAGCTTCTCCGACAATACCTGTTCCCCTTCAGACAAATTAAATTCGCCGTACACTGGCAGACCCATATTGACGTTCCACTTACGTCCAAACACACTGGTCTGCTCAACCAACCTGCACAAGTTCTTTGGCTTTACATTCATTTTATGGGCTTCCCCTAATACAAATGAGTTAAGCTTTGACCCTGCAACACGTATGGCATCGATATCTGTACTGCTCCACGAACACACAGGCGCAATCAAATGTTTGATCGCAGCCGCTATAGAACATGCAACAGATATTTTATTGTCAGAAACGGATGCATACCTCACAACAGTCCCTGCGACAACAGCCAGCTGCACTTTTTCTGAACACATGCAAGCATAGCCCTTACCTGTTCTGCATCCGTTGTCCTCATCAACATCCACTATCACGCTGGGTGATGGCTCCTTGCTGGATGATGGCTCCACGCTCAGTGATGGCTCTGCGCGGGGCAATGGCTCCACTCCTGGAAATGGCTCCACTCCTGGAAATGGCTCCACTCCTGGAAATGGCTCCAACCCCGGCAATGGCTCCTCCTAGAAGAAAATTCATATATAAAAAAACTGCTAAAAACACTATGTGTCTTAAATTGTTTCACAAACGTTTAACTAAATAATAGAAAGATATACAATTACTAATACAAAATGATTATTGTTATATATTAACTTTTGTTTTTCTACTTACCCACACACATATTGAATGGAACTCAAAAGAGAGGTTTCTTGTCATTGATTGTGTACACTTGAAACAACGTTGACTGCATGCAGGCTAACAACTGAAACTATTTTATTTTAACAATGAGCAAAAGTAACTATGTCAATAAATTAGCATGATTCATTCAAATGTCACTCTGAAAGCACATCGTTCACACAAAGAGCACAGACCTGCTGCTCCACAGCAACTGTCCCTCTACTGGTAGGTGGCCGTAAAATCACCTCCACAACAATGGGAGCTGCCTCCCCCTAAAAAAACAAAACAATTTAGTAAACTTGAGAATAAATAACACCACCGATATTCGTGTAACTTCTTAGTTTTAAACAAGTCCTATATTGCCTTTAAAAAAGAAGAAAACAAGAACAACCTGTCGCTTTGCCAGGGTTTTCTTGGAGGCAGGAGCCCTCTGCTTCAGCTCCAACTTTGCTTTCTAACGTAAGGAAAACAAAATGATTAATCCTCCACTAATAACTCCTTATGGACAGTATAAGTTGTCCTCACTGTAATACATTTAAAGTTTGTCAGGAAGGATACATTTTATAATAGGGCATCAACCAACATACAAACAAATTACCTTTTGTGGTGTTGGAACCGGTGGTGTGCACTCATCAGGGCCAGGAAGATGGGATGGACTAATCTTGTCCATCTCAACCAACATTGCACTGCTGAACCACACAGGTGTCAGTGGAAGATAACTCTCCTCCAATTCCTGTGAAATAAGTATGTTGCGTTCCAGATAGAACCGACCAGGATTGGCATTCCCACACTGTCACTCAAGTGCACCTGCAAAAACCAGCAAATACAAATACATTTACAAATAGCACATAACCTTCAATATGTTTTTTCAAGAACGGAACTTGGAATTTCAGCTACAAACAAGTATACAGAGAAAACGTTTCCATTTGCCATGTCACTCACGCCATCTCTGCTCCACAGGTCAAGTTCTTTGAAAGGGAAGTACTCTGCAAGCGGTGTGTACTTCACGCCTAAAAAAAACAACAAGATCAATTACTAACATATCCACACAGATATTATATTTTGCTCTTTTAAAACAAAGAATAATGAAAAATAGGAAAATGATAAAAATGATTTACGGTAGTACTTGAACCTAAATATTTGTTAAACATACCCATACGTGCCGCAACACGACGAAATTCCTGACGCATCATGTCTTGGTAGTCAGGGTCAACGGTAAGGCGCGGGGGGAAGTCCATGGCAAAAACCTAATCAAAGTTACAAAGGTACGCTATTTTTCACAATTTGTTGATAAAAATGTCAATTTTTCAGAAATTCATAAACATACAACCACATCAATAAGAATACAAAATGTAATATTATAAGAACTATAATAAATACAATAAAAAATAAGCTTACGTTGGGCCAGCGACTGCAGGCAGTGGCGAGGAGCTTCGCAAAGTCCTCTCCTGCTTCGGTGATGGTCCTACTGGATGTCAGGTTGTTGCTCGGAGCCATCACACAGACTGCATCTGGTGTCCTAGGCAGCACAGCATTGGCTGCCTCGGTTCGCAGCTGGGTTGCGCATGCCCCCGGTGTGGACATGGCACCAAAGGAAAACCTTCCCTCTGGCATCTTCACAATTCCATCGACGATGGAACGGAGATGTGAAGCTCCAACAAGGAGGACAAACTGTAACAACAGAAGACATTATTTCAAATGAAAATCACTAATGATTACCCAGACTTTGTTAACAAAATCTGAAAACAATTCATACTTCCTTGTCTGGAGACTCCGCTGGTATGACCATCTTGTGTTGTCGTCCTGTCAGGGACGAAATTGGCCATTTCTGCACTCTATGGCGGTTACCCGTACCGCCAGCGGCTATTTAAAAACAGAGAAAATGACACCGACATTAAACTTAATGAACCTTTACAATTCTTAAATTATGTAAGCAATAATAACACACCTTCCTACAATAACACCTGTAAACGGGCACGTGCAGAGGATTTTAGAAGGGAAAGGGCTCAAATGCATAAAGGGTCCTACCGGTGATTGAATTTTAAAATGTATATATTTCAAACAAATCCATGTTTCAAACACTGCTTCATGATAGTTATCTAAAAATGAATGCAAAGAAATCAAGTGTATTTCAGTCAATTCTCCTCATCATAACTAGCTCGCTTGCCCACAGAGGGGTGTATCTGTGCACGAGCCTGCCTGTAAAAAATGCACATGCAAAAACATTTTACAATGATACAACCAAAATGGACACCCTAAACATATACAAAATTGAATGACAAAATCCTCGACTACTTACGTGCGAAACTGGCATTGCCAGGCTGCTGATGTCCCACACGTGTCCCAGCCACGCGTAGCTTTGCAGCCTGGGAACGGCGGGACGATTTACCACGTGGCATCTGAAAGTATGTAGGCATTGTTAGAATTAATAAAGACATTAGCAGACCCCTTAAATAGTACAAATAATTACGCAATTACTTATTTCAACTGCAACAAAAGCGTACAAGTCCATTAATAGTTGATGCATCCTGTTCAACAAAAATGTACTTACTGTAACTGCTCACGAGATAAAGCTGGGTGTTGAAGGTAGATGAGTAGCCGGTGAAGTTAAATGGGTAGCTGGTGAAGAAGCTAGATGAGAAGGTAGATGGGTAGCTAGTGAAGAAGGTAGATGAGAAGGTGGTGAAGGTAGATGGGTAGCTAGTGAAGAAGGTAGATGAGAAGGTGGTGAAAGTAGATGGGTAGCTAGTGAAGAAGGTAGATGAGTAGGTAGATGGGTAGCTGGTCAAGCCGGTAGGTTGTTTAACTAGAACAGAGAAGAAACTAATCAGCATCACAGACATGGAAATATAATTACTTAACACAATGTACAATACAATCGCATAGCTTAGCATACAATAGTTATAAACAAAAAAATTATCAATTGTATTAGAAGCTGCTAATCACTTAGATTTACACTAATAAAGGGCCTATCTGTTTTCATTATACTTTATGCTACTGACAGTGTCTTGGACCACAACTCACCGGTAGAGAACTGCTCAAAGCTGTCAATCTGTGGGGAAAACACAGCATTAAACCCTGCAAAGAAAAGACTGGAAAGTTCCACATATTGTCATGGTATATGTTACTACAAACACTGTCTTTGACCAACACTCACCAGTAATGAACTGCTCAATAGTCGTCACTCTGTGAAAATAAAATTAAAATTAAACCTTGCAAACACAATGCTTGCACACATGGTGATTAAACATTTGGTACACGTTGTAAATGCTTAAATGCTCTTGCATTTATAAAAACAGGATAATACAATTACCATAATATCATTCTGTGAAAATATGAATTCTGCATAAAGAGTACTTTTACTTTTGATATTTGGAGTACATTTAGCTAACAATTGTGCTAATGAGTACCTGTACTAAAGTAGAGGATCTGATTACTTCTTCCAACGTTGAATATAGTATACCTTGAAATATATTTAATTGTTCATAGTTGAATGACTCAAAATTACTTTATTTAAGCTATGGAATCATTTAACCAGCTTTCCTTTGTTCATAAATGACAAAAATAAGCTCCTTATTTTAGACATTCTGCTTTAACCAGCTTCACAATTAATTCACAAGAGGAATGATCACTCACCCCAGACAAGATAAGATGAACGAGAGGACAGTCTCTGGTTTAACCAAACTATATATCGAATTTAAAAAAAATGAGCGACCAACCACAGCTCTCCTTCTTTAAAATATTTTTGTAATTTCCCTCCAATCGAAATATATAATATTAACATTTGAATGTCAACTGCTTGCTATGCAGACATGTTATGAAAATATCACACATCAAAGGGTCAGGTGCAGAGGTCCCTGAAACAAAGAATGGATTATGGCTGTTGTAGTCTTTACCACCATTGCCATATTTGTAGTCAATTCAATCATAGTTACTTCAGTGTTCAATAGTTTTTTGATTAAAAATATAACTGAGCTATAGTGTGTCTGTGTGTGTCTTAACTGTCATCCATGTCAGCCAGGGGTGCACATAACTGGTACGCAGGTACGCATGCGCGGCAACAATCTGAAATGCTTACCGTAACTTGTGTCACAAAGCAGAGTCGGCCTCTAAAACAGCTGATCACAACGTCCACACGCTCCGCGGTCACGAAGCTCTGCACCCCTCCCCCCCCCCCCACTACTCAAGTACAATATCTGAGTGCTTCTACTTTTACTCAAGTACAAGATCTGAGTACTTCTACTTTTACTCAAGTACAAGATATATACTGATACCACCTCCGTTTATAGCCTATGAAAAAAACTATTAGAAAACGAAGGCTAAAGCTAACGTTAGCAGATGGTGACAATGTATGCTAGTTAGCTAGCTCGACAACGATAATATTGCGACAGAAACACTTTTCAGTGCACATCACGGCATCAGAGCCTTATTATACATCCATCAGCAGAGCCGACAGGCAGGGAGCACACAGATCGCGCTGCATTATAATATATATACACCATACGTGTCATGATGGCACATAACAGCTCCCGGCCGCAGATTACTCCGGGTCCCAGACTCCCCCCATACCCCAAAAATATTTTTATTGCAGATCTACATGAATCACACAAACGACCTATTTTGGATTCAAAACGGCGAATTTCGCCAAAAGGTGACAAGTTTGCATCCTTGACTTTAACTTTTGATACTTGAAGTATATTTAGCAAATAAATGTGCTAATGAGTATTTGTTCTAAAGTAAAGGATCAGATTACTTCTTTCAACCTTGAATAAATAAAGTATGCCTTGAAATATATTTAATTGTTCATAGTTGAATGACTTCAAACATTACTTTATTTAAGCTATTGAAGCATTTAACCTGCTTGTTAATAAATGACATAAATGTGCCCTTATTTTAGAAACAAATGTTAACCAGCTTCACAATGAATTTATAACAACATCCACTCACCTCAGGCAAATTGCAGAGAGGGCCAGTACAAGTTGAACAGGCATAATATATGAAATGAGCGACCAATCAGAGTTCTCCTTCTTTAAAATATGTATTTCTCCCCTCCAATCAGAATAGTTAATATTTACATTTGAATGTCAACTGCTTGCTGTGCAGAGTCACACCGGCTGCGCGCATGCGCATTGCTTTCGTCTACGGGGTTTTCTGCAGGGTCCCGTCGCTGAGTGAATTTGTCAGACACACATCAGTGTGAAGTTCGGGATTCTTGGGACATTTGTCTACCTCGTTTGCCTAATCGGGTAAGTGTGTGTTTTACCTAACAAGGAATGTTAACAGTAAAGTGCACTGTACTATTTAAACCAAAAGATAGATACAATGACTTCAACTACCCACCACAGGTTTGCTAGCTTAGCTACAGATGGCGTTGCATTTATGTTCAAGCACCTGAAGGCGTTTATAATGCATTTTAGATGGTGAGACGACCGGTGTTATAGTCAGTGGCGGCGCCAGAGCATTTTTGTTGGGTAACCTATGGTAGGGCTAAGGTGCTCAAGTCAGTATTTGCAATGTAATTACATACACGCTATATCGCCCCCCTTGACAGTGAAACGCCACGCGTGAGGTTTAGATTATTTCCCTGTCTCAATCCAAATGGAACTGTATGAAATAAGACGGCACATTTGTCTTGTAGTAAATAAAAAGGGATCACTGTGAACGTGACGTCGAAACATGGCGGCGACGTACAAGCGCATGTAGACCATGGCGTTAATGTATGTGTTATCATTTTCGCTGTGAGCCATGTTCATACGTTTTATACAGAACTTGTGTGTATGTGACGATACACGGAATGGGGGGGGGGGGGCGGCATTGTTGTTCCGCCGTTACACCGGTTATTAACGTCTGTTTATTGGGGTAGCCGGCAGCCGGTGACTCTGACATTGTTGCGTTACAGGTCTTGTTGTTTAGTTGAGGGTAAAACACATCTCAAACTTCGTGACTTTTCCTAAAACGGGTATATTAATCATCGAGTGAATTTTGGGGCTTGGGGAATTAAGAGAGAGAGAAAAAATATATACTTTGCCGCAACACTTGCCGTGTTTAGGTCACGCAGCTCAGTGCTCACCTAAAGCTCAGCCGCTGACGGACCGATGAGCGGAGCAAAACACACGTTTCAAGTTAGACCAAACACACTTAGCTATTTTATCTACCTCTGGAACTAGCTAAACTAGTTATACATTTTATGCACAATACACTTTGTGTAAGATTTAATTTTGAGCCCAGAGATGCCGTGCTGTTGAGTTGCAATTATAACTTCCACAAGCTGAATGGTAAGACTCAGTAGATTGGTGCTAAAGTTAGAATCAGTGGATATGTATTTTGTTGTTTAGTTTTCCATAGCACTCATTCATGCATATTTTACTTTTCCTCAGGACACTGACCATGAAGAACGATTGCTCAGAGGTGTGTCTGTGGCCATCCTCACCGTCATTGAAGATGATGATGCCGCTATATCGCCAAATGTGCGAGACGTGGCTGTTGTGTTGGAAGGGACCATTGTACTGCATGACCTACCAGACCTCTCTACTGCCTTTGCATACCTCTTTGGCATACTTTATGCAATGAACATGGATTTTCCAAAGGAGATGAGGTATACCTTTGAAGCCATTCAGACTATCTTTTAAGAGCTTGGCTCTCGACGCTCGCAGCGCATAAGCTCTCGGAAAACAAAGCTTTTGCTGTGAATGTTAATGGGGAAGCCAGACATGACTTTAACCTATGTTTCGCCTGTTCTAGTGCATTGTGGTTAGTGCTCATGTAAAACCTCACAGCATTCATTTCATTTGAAGCATATAAGTTCCCTTCTGAAATAGAGAATCAAAGAATGTGTGGATGTGTAAGTTGCCAGTTCAAAAGAGGGGCATATCCAGTATTTCTACTGTTCAAGTTCATTGTTAGTGATCAGGTAAAACTTCAATGTATGTACTTGCACATGCAGTCATTTTTAGCATGAAGTCCCATTTGCCTGTGAAATTGAAATGTGTGGAATTGTGAGTTGCCAGTTGACAAGAGGCACTGGATTGTAATTGTTATATTTGTTTATTCTTAAATTCTTTGATTGTGATGTGCTGAAGAGGCTGAGGCCTGATATATCACAGGTGTGTGAATCCTATTTTGACCTGATGGATAAAAGCAGAAGCAGAAACCATCCTCAGAATCTGTGTTCAAAGGCCATCGTCATTTTCTGTTTAAAGCAGCTTTGCTAGATGTTTATTATGTCAAGAAATGTCCTTAACTTGTGTTATGTTGCAAAACGTGCATTTTTTCAAATCCATATATTCAGCATGTGAAGAATGCATGTTATCAACGTCTAGCAAAGCTGCTTTAAACAGAACATGATGATGGCATGGGGTCTGCGAGACAGCGAGACACAGAGGAACTCAGCCTGAGCACACACACACACAGCTGGGCTGGGCGAGTCGGCTGACAGCTTCCATACAGCGCTGCATAGACAGGTATTTTCTGTGTTAGAGTTTTACTCGCTACAGGGTGTACTTTGAGGGTTTGTGACTCTGCAGACCGTTTACATGCAGAAAAACCTACATAACACACAAGGGGATGGGTAATAACCAGAAAAGCATATGATAAGACCTTTAAAAGAGAGAATGTTTTGTGTGCTAAAGTAGACAAAAAATGTACAAAATGTTCATAT